CATTTTGTCCTCAAAGTTGACAAGGGCCAAATTGTCATGACTAGACGACTGGGTCAGAGCATCTCCACACTGCAATTCTTGTGGGGAGTTCCCGGTCTGCAGAGGTCAGAACCTTAAAAAAGTTCTCCAAGGAAGGAAAGGTGGTGAATCACCACCAGGGTGCCCGGGCGGTCAGAATGTTATGGCTGATCGGTGTATGTCAAGAGTTCCTGGGGTGGAAACGTGGCTGTTCGTGTTTTAGCCGACTTCGCGATTTAATTCGTTATTAGTGATGTGAAAACATCTGTTCCAAAAGTGTGTGTCCTGCTCATAGTGGACACGGACTTCACAGACAGTCATCACCGGAACAGAGGGGTGCCGCTGCTGCCCTCCGTTAACTATCACTCTTCCCTGCTTCCATCGCAGTAAGTTTTGTGGTTTGTAGGCATTTTGAGACTCGTTTTGTAAAGTTTACAGCCTGCCATGCTGTCGACTCGGGCTCTTCTTGACTGATGATTTCATGGGCAGCCCTGAAAGGTACCTTGTTTTATACCACGTAGACGACTAGAACAAGCCTGAAGACAGAATAATCACAATCGCAATATTGCTCGGAAAAATCCAAATGAGATATTTTCCTCAAATTGTTTGGCCCTACCTTTAAATATAGCCGATTCAAGATATTTTCAGAGATTTTGAAAGGACCTGATTGATGATAATGAGGACAGGAAAGAGGAAACGTGGCAAAAAGAGTGCGTGAAAATAAATACAACAGGCAGAAAGCTCAAAGTAAAGGGAGTTGAAGGAAGGTGCGGGGAGGGAGAGGAGTGATGGGCTCGAGAGGAGGGACGGAGACAAATAGAGCGAGGGTGAAAAGGCGAGGAGTCGAATAGAAAAGGGTGAAAAGAATGAGAGTGTGCGAGCATGACAATGACAGAGTGAGCAAGCGAGGGAGTGTGAATGAAAGGCCGACAGAAAGGGATGAATCCATGTGGAACACAAAAGGAGACAGACACTGCCGCCTCTCTCACTGTACGTCTGTATCTCTCGCTCTCCCACTCTCCATCTTTTTCCTTTCTCCACCTCCCACCTTTTTTTTCACCTGTCTCTTCATACCGCTCTACTTTCTTTGGCTTTTTTGAAACCATTTCCCTCTGCTCATTTCTTTATTTTTTTTTCCTGTGCCGCCTCCCCATCTCTAACCCTCATTTTCTTTCTGTAGCTTCCACCATCTCTCCATTTCTGTAAGTCACCCCAGGAGAAGAGCGTGGCCATTCTGAGCAGCTAGATCTGAGGAGCCATCGTTTTTGGCTATGAGCTGGTGTTTGTGCCAAACGGAAACTGAGATTTTTTTTAAAAACGGTCTGCAGAAAGCAAACATCTCAACTTTCCAGCCTCGTGTTTTAATTTGGAACGTAAACACAACAAAACTTGGAGATTTCTCAGAGCAGCAACATAGGAAATATTCTGCATCTAGGTGGCATCTATAAGCAATGGTCAAGTTATTATTTTATGCTTATTTAGTTGTCTGACAACAGAAAATATGCAGATTGAGTGACTGAATCATGGGTTTGGCTGTTTTAAAACACTGTATAGGTGCTCACACAAAGCAGGAGGGGACTAATCACAAGTTAAACAAGCTGAATATAGTCTAGTTTACATTACAGACAGCTGGTCGGCAGTAGGAAAGTTTTGTAGTTTGCCAACTGAAAGAGGACAAAGAACTATCCTGTTACTAGAAGAAACACCTAAAAACGGCATTGTTTTCACATGCATCTCCCTCCCACTGCTTTCTGTCACTTCATTCCTTTCTCTCACTTGCCTTCTACCCTTGAACCTCTCCCACTTTGCACATCTAATGTATGTCTCGCACCCTCAGAGCCTCTGCTCTTCTTTGTATTCTACCGAGTGAGTCAATCTTTAGCATGGAGAGAATTCAAAGTCGCCCTCTTTTCCTCTTTCTTCCTTTTCTTCCTCATCTACACACACCCACCTCTCTCCGCTGCAGTGCCTGAAACGATTAGCGGGTTAGGCGGCGGGCTCAACTTTGGCCGTACAAACCTGTCGATTTGATGGCATCTGGAAAAGTCGCTTGAGGGGAATTCGGAAAAAAAAAGGGGAGGGGGGGGTGATGGCAAAGAAAGAGAGGTGGTGGGGGAGAGGGAGGGCAGTGAGAAGGAGGCAGTGAAGGGTGTAATTGGTCGAGGGAAGTCGGGCATGGAGAGCATTGTTGGCTGCCTACTGTAGCACAATCTACCTCTTTTTATTCACACTCTGCCTCTCCCTCCCTATTCCTCCCTTACTTTCTATCACTACATTTACCACTCCCATTCACCCCTTCTTCCCCCATATCTTCCTCCTAATCCCTCTCACCCCTTATCATCTCTACACTATATGACCAAAAATAGGTGAACACACCTGCCCACATACTTTTCTGGGCTTTTGGTCTGGTTTTTTGTGTACCAAACTAAATTCCCTCTCCCTTCTTTTCGTTCCCCTCTTTTTTTCCCCCTCTCTATTCACAACTCCAATTTTTCCCTCACTTGTCCTCCCTGGCCCTTCTCTCTCTTTTTCTCACTCTTTTTGATGCGTCTCGCTGTAGCTTCATGCTGATAGACCATGAATATCAAATACCTGTGCGATCGGTGGAGCTGAGACTGGCACAGCATGGAAGGAAGAGGGGAAGGCAGGTGGCGTGTGTGTGTGTGTGTGTGTGTGTGTGTGTGAGTGAGAAAGAGTAAGCGAGTGACAGAGAGAAGGCAGTTCTATATGTGTCTATAGGTGGATATGTGTCAATACAAACACACAAAACAGCATGTGCACTCGCTGCAAATGTCATCCTTACATACTGTGCCTGCACACCCCTTCAACTGCCAACACACACCTCTGACACATGATGACTATAACACGTATGGGAAGAATCGATTGATACACACGCACACACAAACACACACATTTCCACTTCTCACTTGCTGTCCAAAGCTAATCAGCTGCCCTCTTTCTGGCTCTCTCTCTTTCTCTCCCTTTTGGACAGTCAAACACTATGTGGCTCGCTCTTCAGGGCTCTACAACCCACTAGAAACCATTTATAACCTCATCCAACCCCGAGCAATTACACCAGCAGCTGCTCCATGTCACTCCACGTATGTGTGTGAGTAGACTTATGTGTGCAAGTTATGTGTGTGAGTGTGTGTGTGTGTGCATCTGAGGTGCCTGCGTGAAGCGCGCCATATGGCTTATGTGTTTTTTGAGTTTGTAATGTGTAAAGGCGTCGGTATAGTCTATGTAACGGTATACTGTGAGTGTGTGGCTGTAATGTGTGTGTGTGTGGCTGTAATGTGTGTGTGTGTGTGTGTGTGTGTGTGTGTGTTGGTGTGTCGTAGTGGTGTGTGGTAATGCTGTGGTTGTAGTGGTGTTGTGTGTGTGTGTGTGTATGGGCCAGGTGGCAGCTTGAAACATCACTTTAATTAAGCCGGAGAGCCTGTTCTGCGGTAGAACGGCCCTCTCTGATTGACTCGTATGTGTCACCGACAGGCCACTACAGAGCATAGGAACAGCATCGAGCCTGCTACAACAGGGCTGCAACCATTAATCACTGCAGCTATCCTATTGTGCTAATAATGATACAAAGTTCTGTAACTCTTGTAATGATTCCTGTTGTGTTAAAAACTCTACGCTATTATGAACCCAAAGCAGTGGTAGAAGAGGTATTCAGATCATTTACTTATGTAAGAGCAGCGATACGACAATGTAAAAGTCTTATATTCACTTGAGAAAAGGTATCAGGTTTCAAAAACAAAAGTTCTCATTATGAGAAATGGTCTATTTCCGAATATGACATTATACACATTATACTATTAGATTACTATTACTGACGCATTGATGGATATACACGTTTTTTATGTTGTAGCTAGTCAATGTGGTCATTTTAAATACCTTTTATACTGTTAATAATCAATACAATATTTGATAAGATCATTATTTGTACCATTATTCATGAATTGGAGTAAAAAAGTCTATTTACACATGAAAAGGGGTGGTAAGATACGGTTCACAGTGGTATAATATGAGTAGATTAATACGGTCATAAGTTATTTACAAGCTATATTTTTTTTAATTAGGGGTTTAGACTTTAGCAAAGAATATATAGTCATTTTAAGTATCTTTATTATGTGCTGCACTATGCTGTTTCATCACTCATGGTATGTTATGCAATGTCAATATTTTATTTTGCAAATTTAAGCTAATAATTATCAGACACTGACAGTGTTAAACTGAAGTGCAAATTAAGTTGTGTTAATGACTATGATGTGTGATAAGAGGTGTTATCTGTATTAAACTGTTGTGACATTTCAGCCATTGACTATCATTCTACATACTGCCACCACACCTGTTACATACTATGATATGTATCAAAATAGTGTACATTTTTACATATTTATGCTGTGTCATCAACAGCCAACACATGTTCTGCTATGTTGAATGCTATATCATGCCATGTCATCAAGAAAACCTTCATCATTATACTACAACGTGTGAACAGATTGCCGTTTCATAACAGCTTTGTGCCCAGAGAGGAGAGGAAACATGCATGTGTGATAGATGGCATCTTGGCACGGTGTTGCTGCAGCATTACTGCTGTTACTGCTGATGGCTTTTCAATATAGCATTGCAGTAATTTTCCATAAGCCTGTGTGACTAATGGCGTAAACAATGGAGCCGAATGTTCACGTTATGGGCCCATTATGGAACTATCAGGGCAGGCATGTAAAGACGGATGCCTTTGATCAGCACTCTATTGTAGAAGCCAGATGCAGGGAAGAGGATCCGCGTCTTTAAGTGTGTCTTAAGTGTGCGTGTGCGAGAAAGAGAGGGGAAGAGGGGAAGAATGGAGTGAAAAAGAGATGAAGAGAAGTAACAAAGACAGAAACAAGAGAGATACAATGAGAAGAGAGGGTAAGAGTTGCTGGGGAAGAGACAGAGAAAACCCAACAAAGTGCTTTGTTTCTACAGACCATTGGAAAAGCAATGAATTGCTTAAATGACTCCCAGTCTATTTGTGAAGCCACCCAAAGTATCTCATTTGCCTTTGATGCCTTTTTTCCCCCTGCAGCATAATGACCCAAGCTGGTGATGTCATGCAGCAGTTACCTCAATCAGCCAATGGGGTTTCCCGGTTGTCACGGGCTGCCTTGGATGCTAAAGGGAGCAGTCAAAGTGAACAGGTTAGACACAAGAGCCCCTTAGGTAGAGACCACTTAATAACTCATTGCAGGAATGTGATGGGGGACATCGGAGCCACAGAAATATGGAGTGAGGTGGCCAGATATGTTACATGGAGGATGTGATGTAATGGCTGAGGAGCTGGAAGAAACAAATGCACCTAAATATTAGCAGATTTTATAATGAATGCAGAGGAGATCAACGTGGAATGAGTGAAAGTTTTAGCGATCCACAAGCCTGAAAGCTGAATAGCACAAAACAGAATGTCACACAACTGACAGCCCCTTGTGGAACGCTGTAAAAAAAAAAAAAGTATATAAAAAAAAAGGATGATTTTTGGGTCATTGGACCAATTTCAAGAAGTGAGTGCTTTTTCCACTTCAGTTCTTGCATTTTGTCTGCCGTGTAACCCTCGACAGAGCTCTCTCTCACTGGATGAGTCATGCCATGCCAACCTTAAAAACCCCCCAACTGGAGTGTCGGCAAACCTGCAGGTCCACAAGCTGTCTACATATTATATTCTGTTAGATTTCTTTTTTATTAATTGCACTTGTCGGATCTGTACAAAGAGATGAAAACAGAGGGATTAAAGCCTTTCTAATAACAAAATCATGTGATATACTTAAGCGCCATTAGGCTCAGTAAAGCCCAGCGTGTCACCTTGACTGAAACCTCTTTTCTTCTTTCAACTCCAACTTTAACATCGACTCTCTTTATGCAAGCTGCCTGAATGGACACTTCACTTTAATGTATGCACATATATAATACAGTCTATTACCATTACGATGAGCCATGAATGCAATTTTGTTTATTGTGTGCATTACACAGTACGTGGGTTTCATCTTACCCACGTATCTCTGTGTGCTGTTACTGTACAACCTGTCAGGCTGTTCAGTGGCTATATATTCAGCTATTATTTGATCAATCGACAAGAATTTTAATTGAATCGTCATTCAAGTTATTCATCAACCGAAATTGGCAACCATTCTGTGGTTCCAGTTACTCAAATGCCTGGTTTGATGTCATCATTATAAATGGAATACTTTTAAAGTTTTTAAACAAACAATCTGAAAGCATCACCTTTTGCTCTGGGAATGTTTCGCATTTTTCAGCATTTGCTGAAATTCTTAGACTAATCGATTAATGGAAAAAATAATCCAAAGATGAACAAGGAAAATAATCACTAGCTGCCGCCCAACCTCTCAACATCCAATTGTCTCGTCATCTACTGGAAAGGTATCTAATAGCTGAAAATGGATAATTGTCCATTAAAAGTTGCCCTGTTCTGTAAGATCCACACCCTGTATCCAAAGCTCTACACCATCACGGTGCCTCGGCTGTTGTTGTCGGCAGCGAGATGTTTAAAATGAGGCTCCTGACAACAGATAACATCTGAAAGGCACTGAATCCATTATGGCGGTTGATGTTCCGGGAAAGGGTGAGGAGGAGACTGGAGGTTTGGAGTTGGGAATGGAGGAGAGGAGGGAGGTGAGAAGAGACAAAATGGGGGGAGAGAGGAGACAGCAAGACCATGGTGCATTTGCACAATCTATCTGGCACTCGTCCCTGTGGTTGCATTGATTTTTAGGGAGGTAAAAGTCCAAAATAAATAAAAAAATGAAACAATTGCTTTTACTTTACTAAATCCTTAAAGGTGCACTAGACCATATTTTTATGTAAATATATAAGTGTTTAGTCTAGATCTACTTTAATTGTGATACTGGAGATTTGCATTGATCAGAATCAGGAAGAGATGACACTTAACACAAATGTTGCTCCTAAACAGCAGTTTGTAGGCGATTTAACCAGAAAGCTGAATGCTCAGATTTTAATTTCCATCACAATGGAAATGAGAAAATAAAGTCAAAACTATGATTTCTGGTCAATAAAGTCCTTTGAAACATCCAAAACTGAAGTTCTCTCTCACTGCTGGTGTACCTTGGCATGCCAAAGTACAATGCTGCCAAGGGTGGCTTATAACAAGCCAATTAATAATGTGACATTTACCAGTGTTGGCAACTCTCACTGACAAGACAACAATGGGAGAAGGCCCACTCTCGGGTGTCTTTCTCTGTAAGCTGACGGAATGATACATGTCGTCATGTATGAGCACTTGTGAGACGCGCCAGCTGCAGTCATCATAATCGACAACGTCCTGCCATAACTTTTCTTGATGACTAAGATCATCCACACAGCTGGAAGGTAGGGCCGCCAATCAAATCAACTGGCCAATTACACTTCTAATGTGCCACGCAGAAAACGCAACCAATTCCGCACACTTGGCCAAATGTAAGCTGAAGGTTAGGCCAGACGTGAAGACGTGAAGTCTGCGGTTGTTAAATTACAACTTAAGTTGGGTATGTAAATGGAGAGTGATGGAAATCTGAATAGCCTTTTAATTTCAGCAGTAAAGACAGATGAGGTTTTAAGAGCTGCTGTGGTGGAGAGCCTTTTAGAGTAATGTGTGACGAGTCACGTTCAGGCCATCGGGAGCGCATTGTAACAGTTGGAGATAGCGTACATCCTGCTGAGAGCTAATTCTTCACAGAAGGTAGATTCTCATACTAAAACTACATCTGCTGCCACTGCAGGGTACAATCCCGACATTAGGAAGGTTTATTTGCATTCAGTACCTGGGTATTTATGGATATGAAATATTAGTCTATATATGTCAAGTGCCTCTTTTACAGATGGCGTTGTACGTCGGAGTTGTCAAAGTTTCTGTGTGCGTTTGGCACTGAGACTGCCGCAGCCAACTCTGTCTGCATTTTTCCCTCAATAAAGTGAAATATAAACTAAACAGGGTGTTTGTTATTCATCTCACATATCAGAGTAAGTATGCTGCAAGCAGGCCAGACTGACTACCTTATCCACAGCCGCCAAATAAAGCAAACTCCCATGTGTTTCTCACCTTCACTGACAAATACAGCTCTGAGGGGAGTGATGGAGTGAATTATTCTGCAGCACAGCCTGAACAGTCCATACTGATGAACCATGAAATTGTGATTTGTTAGAGCAACTCTGGATGGAGATTAATATTAGTGTTACTGACTAATATTTATACGCATGACTAGTGACTTGCACTTTGATTAACCAGCTAGTTCAAAAGTGGATCCCGAGTGCATGCATAAGCTATTGTTTTTTTATCCCAACTGGGTGATAACATGTGTTTTTCCTAGCAGAGATTAATAACCTCCATGCAAAGGGGGAGTTCAGGCTAAATAAAGGAGCAGAAGCTGTTAAGGAGGAGGAGGAAGAGGCGTTTTTGGGAAGTGGGTTTAATTGCAGGCTAGTGTTGGGGTGGAGTCTTACCAAATCTCTGGGGCATTGCGTCTGGGGCTCAGCATTCTAGAGGATGGAGGGGGGACACAAGAACCAAAAGTAATCAAGCAAAAATATTTATTGACAGGAACAGTGAAAATGTGAGCACAGCTGTGGAAGGGAGAACTTATGGGTAAATGGAAGCAGTGTGAAGAATAAATGGGCATGCAGGATATGAAAATGATAGATCTCAGCAGACAGATGGTAGTTACTGCTGGGTACTGTGCACTCAGACTTAAAATATAAACTGTGGGCCAGAAACAACTGTAGCGTTTGCAAGGACAAAATGTCACAATCTTGGAAATGTCACAATCCCCGTTCCATTGGGGGCCGGGGGGTGGGATAAAATACTATTTTTGTACCCCCATACTTTTACAGTTTCAGATTGATTTACTCTCTAGAGCCTCTCTAACAAGTGTCCTCTTCCTGTCCAAACGCTCAGTTCATCCAGATTGCTACCTAGGTGAGCTCACAGCAATGAGCTTTACAAGCAACAGGCAGCACTTCATGGGCTGCACTCACACACTCTATACTGTGCAATATTCATTGATTAATGAAGTGCATGATGGATGCTTTCCCAATCACTTTACATTGAATCTCAGCTCTCGATCTTTGTAAAACACCATTTCTTTGAACACAATTTTATGTATTTATTTTATATACAGGCTGACCTACTCAGGGTTGGAAAAACACTACTGCAACATGTTCTCCATATTTTTTTGGGGGGGAGAAAATCTATGACAATCTATGCTTTGATTTAAAGCTGGTGTGTAAGTAGAACATTCTCCTAACAATCTGCTGGAAATTAACATATATCAAAAATTAGGCTGCCAAGGACATTGCTCTCTCTAAATCTCAATTCTGTATCAGTGAAACTAAATTTGATTTTGCATCACATGTGCATGAACGTGCACTGCATTAATAATAGCATATTAGCATATCAGTTTAATTTACATAGGATGTCTAATTTTTTGTTAGACTGCCCTTAATGTGGGAAGCTCTATAAACAATCCATCTTGTCCAATAGCCAAAAGATATTGTTTTATATCTGCTGCACGTGGCACCGGCACAAATGACACAGCAGCTGTTGACTTTATGTTTTCATTGCAGTACATTAGGTTTAATAAATAAAGCTTAGTAACTGCCATTTTTAATTCATACTTATGTGCCAAGAAAATGTGCTGTTTACTCTTGAAACTCTGTTTTGGTTAAGCCGGATTGTTTTTGTCAGTGTTAACAGGGATGCTGTTTGGTCTGCCCTACCTCTGAAAGCCATGAGAAAAATGCGTAGACATAAAGACTGAAGCTACTCATTTTGTGCACTGGACTCCTTCCCCCTCGAGTCCCATCTCAACCCTTTTACATCACCCTCTCCACCGTCTGCAGCTGATAACCACCGATCCCATAAATCCTACCATCTAACTACCAACTACGCAGAGCCAGCCAGACTCAAAGCCCCGCTCTAATCTAAAGATGAGTATCGACCAGTGTGGCAGTTCCTCTCATCTAACTTCGCCCGTGGCGACAGCCAGCCAATAGCCTCCTCTGCATCCCTTGCTGTGATAATTGTCACCAATCAGCCATTTGATTGACACTGCTTGCTAGCGAATGGCTGCATGTGCCTGTAATGGCCCCAGTGATTGCTGAGGGTGTTGGGAGAGACCATTTTTATGACAACAGAGGGGGGGATTTAAGGCCGTTTGGTGCTATAACTCATGCTACTACTCGATAAGGCGTGTGTTAATGCCAGCTAGTGCAGCTAGAGAGATAGCAGAGAATCATTGACCGCTGCTGTGGAGTAAACACCAATGTGATTTAAAGCGCTGTTCGCTCTTCCCACATGAAGTAAAAAAAAAAAAACTTAAGCTGCAGTCTGGCGCCTTGTTTTCCATCTTGGCCATTCTGAGCCTACTTCCTTATCAAACAACTTTGCAGGAACTCCAGATGTGCAGTACATCAAATATGATTTTCTGCTAAGATAATTAAGTATAACATCTGGCATCATGTAAAAACACAACCTTGAGAAAAGCAAACAGTTGTGACAAATGTACCAACTGAATTAACAGCAGTTAATCAAATCATTGCAGTTACAAGCTGTGAATGGCATCTGTCTATACTGAGTGACAGTGGTAGCATCCAAAGCCAGCGCTTAAAGATCCGTATTGCTGTTTGTAGTGTTGTGTGCGAGGATGTTGCCTGATTGATATTCAAGCCAAGTGTGTTTTTCACTCTCTGCCTACTACCTGCCCTGCGTCTGTCTGTTGATCCCCACATCCATCAATCTAGAAAGTCAGCTTGGAGGCAAAACATGGCGAGAGAGATGGAAATACAGAGACAGAGAAGGTAACCTAACAAAGCGAGAGGAAGAAAGGATTGGGTGAATGAGAATGAAAGGAGCAGGAGGGGAGGGCGACACAAAGAAAGACAGACGGAGTGATAGTGAGAGGAAAGGAGAGGGTGAAGGAGATAAAGAGAAAAGATTAAGCTCTACAGGTTTCCTCTGAGGCTAGCCGCAGTTTGATAATAGAGAGGAGGTGCAGCGACGGAGCGGGACAATCAATCTGCATGCTCGGCTAGCGTGTTGTGTTAGCTGGGAAATAAGAAGACAACACTGCACTCACTGTGGGGATTAACGGTACCTGTGACAGCACAGGAGCACACACAGACACACTCTCACACCTATGCCTGAGCACACAGCCATAACCTACACGTATCCATGCGCCGGGGGACTGCTTATATGTCATGATGTGAAATGTATTATGCTGACAGGATGAAGAGTTGAGGGAATGTTCCAAGGGAGGTAGAGAATGACAAACGTACCACTTCTCTGGGGAGGAAAGTGTCCTCCTGCCGTAGAACCAGCAGCCCCACTGCCCCGCCCATGGGTGTGGCCCTGAGCAGAGACACCACCTCCTCCTGGGTCCGCCCGTTCAGGTCCACACTATTCACCTGAACAGGAGACAAAGTGAATGGGTTTAGCTCCTAAACAGGCTGCATGGATTCAAATATTGGCTACTTTTTGAGCCCAGGGGCAAATATTCAAATTGCTTATCGCAAAGTTTTAAAACAAAAGATTGTTGTAGTGTAATGGAGTGATAAACTAGTCTCAGCCTTCATCACTAATTCAAAAAAAGCTTAAAGTGAAAAATAAACTTGTGGATCAAAGGATTCAAAGTTTTGTGCAATAACCCCGAAGATTCAGAATTACACAATAATTACACAATTGTAATTCTTTATGCAAATGGATTGTAATGTGGGATAACACAACTTCAAAAGCTGTTCCGTCCTGCGGCACAAGATAGAGCATGAAAACGCCTTCTTTGATTTAATTCCAGGATGCTAAATTTCCATATAAAAGTTACCTGATTAAATAGTTAGTTACACTTTATTTTAAACAGATGACAGGTATTTTTGATGGATTAAAAGTATTAGTACATGTGGGGTATTCACCCTGTGACACATTTCATATAAGGGGTTGTCTAATTTTGGACTTTAAAACCATGACCTGCTGGTCTGCAGTCCAGATAACACAATCCAATCCCCATTATACATTGCTGTCAATGAGTACATCCACTCCGCACACATATGACCTGCTGTGTTAAATATCACTGCATGCTCTCACCTCCAGCAACCTGTCTCCAGCCTTGAGACGGCCATCTTGGATGGCTGCTCCCCGAGGCAGAATGTTCTTCACGTAGATGGGTGCTGAGCCGCCGATGGGAACGTCCCGTGACGTTATGCTGAAGCCGAGGCCCTCAGGACCTGTGGGATAAGGAGAGGAGGTCTGATGATGGAATCTGGCTATTCCCTCTGCACCCTTGCAGCTCAGGCTACTGCGAATAAATTCATGCACTGTCTATAGCTTAAGATGTTGCTAATGTGTCTGTGCATATTAATATATGTTTACGTGGACGGATGTGATTTTGTTTGTGTACATTCGCAATTTTTGCCTGCAACCCCTTATGAGTACATCATTATGAACCATTAGGAACACAGACCTGTATCTCATTTCATCAATAATCCAGACAGACAAACAAACAATTTCCAATTATCAAGCAAGTTAAATACGGGAAATGAAGAGAAATCCTGCATCCTGTCAGCAGAGAGCTCAAATAGGTCTATTGTGAATAATAAAGTAGGATATAATGTGGGCCAAAGCAAGTTTTAAAGTAAAATGTTGGACAATGTAATAAGTACATGCAATTACATGGTGCCAGGAAGTAAGTTCAGCCTGAAGACTTTTAATACTTTTGCCTGATATTTAATTGAAGCAAGAAAGTGAAAAACAACCTCTGGTAAGATCATATTGGGGTCATGGAGAGGGAAGTTTTATTCCTGCACGTCCACCTCTCTATCAGCAGAGATGATGATAAACAAATATAAAGTCTGTCCTTCTCCCCAAGCATCACATCCTGCACTCTGAGCTCCGATCAAGGTACTTCAAGTATGTTTTCTAGAGAGCTTTGTACAGACACTGTGCCAAATGACACTGTGTGTAAGACTGTAAAACAAAGTTAATATAAGAACAATAATGAGCATCTTTGCTGTATCAGAGTACCGGCCCTAATCCTCACGCCTGTCTGAGCAGATGCAAAGAAAAGCAGAACACTTAGCTATTCTGTTTCACATCCTCTGCCTAATCCCCTACATTGATGAGCCAATCAACTTCCCGCAGGCAGACGAGGTGCTGTATTATACTCACCGGTAAATGCTTATAGCATTCCTGGCTTTAAACAGGGAGGAGGATCTTATAAACTCCCATTAGCTTGATTAAGACATACCTAAGCAATTTCCTCTGCAGAATGGGATTCTTTGATTGATTCTGATACTCCCCGGGATTTGCGAGGGGGCCGGTGTCTGATTCAAGCGCATAAACAATATGGGAGTCTAATCTGCGTTTAAAGCTGCAGGCTAAAGTCGGTACTCAAAACAAAACAGATGAGCCAAACGGCCTCTCGAGAGTCGCTGTTAATCCCTGCAAGTATCTGCTCTGACAACAGCAAACAAAAAGGTGGAATGAGAAATGATAACATCTTTGAGTGAGAACGTAACAGATCTGCTGGCATATCATGTACAGGATGAAGTGAATTCTAGGTATTAAGACTAAGCAGAGATGTGAGAAGAAAAAACTATGATGAAGGAACAACTGGAAAAAGCTATCAGTCGGGATGGAATATGCCACAACCAGCTGGGTGTTTTTATGTTTTATGTTCTGGCTTTATTCCAGAGGAAACAGATTTGGGTGAAAACTCCAACGGGCATATGGTGCAGCCCTGTCAGACTCTTTGCTGTGGCATTTGACAGCACACAGGGACCAGCGGCTGCTTAGCAACAAGCTCCCTGGCCCTGAGACCTGGCACCGACACCTGGTATCCTGTTGGCAGAGGTTTGCACCACCTGTGCCAGCTGTCAGTCAAAGCCTATACCGAGGAGTTGTCCCCAAAGTTTTATTCCCAACATCGCCTTTCGTTCTGTATTTCCACCTCCACGATTCTGTGCAGTTTATTGGACTCGTCACCCGCTGTTTGCTGCTCACATCAGTATGGTAAACTCTGGATGTTTTTAAGCCTGTTACATCATTGTTCATATTCTGCATGCTTCTATGTTTGCACCATTTCTCAACAAACTGCTCCTACACTTGTTTTTGATGTGCCAGGACTGGGGAAATTGCTTGTTTATTCAGTTGGAATGGAAAGGCTGGGAACATACAAAGCATCTCTCTCATTTCTGAAAGCCAGAGGAATGCAAAGCACAAGGGGAGATTTTCACAGACCCTCTGGAAAGAATCAGATGATGCTTCAAAAACAAAATGATGTAATACATCATGTAGGGAATCAGATGTTTCTTTTCCACAATAACAAAGCACTTTTCTGATAGTGGTCCAAATGTGGTTGTAGGTTTAGATAACTTCCCAGGGTCTGCTGACTGTTCATACAAACAGAGAAACACAAGGTGCACTAAAGGCAGTGCATCGCAAGACTGGGAGAGTGACAAACTATCCTAAAAAATTTGCCGTCTTACATCAGGATGTTTCCCATACTCCTTGTCAGTCATTGACTGCCTGTTGCAGGACAATTTCCAGTTTGTCTCTCGCATGTTTACATTCAAAAAAGAAGTCTTGTAAATCATCCACTCTCCTTTGGTCCCACGTTAATTAGGCATAATTGTTATTACAGAGACCTTTCATCGTCTCACCTTTCTTTAGCTGGATGTTGAGCCTTCTCCCGACCTTTTTGGTAAATCCTGCTGTCGGCGTGGAGTTTACCCCCCTCTGAGGCGAGTGGGTGTGTCCTGTTGGAGGCTTGGCTGCAGAGACCGCTGGGTGAGCTAGAGGGGTGTAGCCGTCAGTCGGGTCTGGGTGAGTATGGGAATGGGAATGGGAATGCGGATGCGGATGGGAGTGTGGGTGACTTTGAGAACCGTGTCGGGACATCCTCTGCGGGGTGTGGTCAATGCCGGAGACGGTGCTGCCGGTCAGGGAGTCGGGGCTGAAGCGGCCCGAGGCGTATGCCGGGTTCCTCTCAGCATGGGACAGCTGCTCGTAGTGGGCCTTCATCGATGACGGCACCACGTGGAACATGATGACAGGAGAGCACATGGCCTGACGGAACATGTTCTGGGCTCTGGGACAGAAAGAGCGGGAGGTAGTTTAAGGGAGAGATTTGGAAAGAGGACAGAGAGAGTCGATTATTCACCTAATTTCAGCCCTAAATACCTTTCTCAGCCATTATTAACGATCGTTTGCATTCATACTTGTCTGCACAAACTTGCTTATTGAAGCACTCTACCTACTCTCTCATACACACCCATACTATATATATATATATATACACAATCCATCTTCGCCCACCTGAACATTCTGACATGTTAATTAATACTTATTGCCAGTGTGAGCGGCTCTAAAAAGAGACTGAACCCTCCCCGACAGCTCCATCACATAATCCCCTCATTTGGCTGCAGATGAAGGAGACCTCTATCCGTCGGATAGTTTGCAGAAAATCCTCTCTTAAACCCCCTCTCGGTGTGAGCTCATGTACAGTAGGTGTGAATGGAAACGTAAGTTGGCTGTCAGCACCCTGTAACAGCAGAGCCTTGTTAGCGCCACCTGTTTCAATAAAGCAGGCTTTGGTATGGCTCTTCCCTTGCCCCCCTGACAGCTGCACGGACATTCGGAAAATGCCGGGGGGCCCAGAATTTCTATTGCTCGCCTGTCCCCCGTCCCCTATGAATGGCAACTGAAGTTTGTCCTCCAGCAGAATTTCATTGTGAAATCCCAGGCCCATTTTTTCCCAGCCACTAATGACCCTCCCCGAGGAGGATGGTCTTGTCTCGGCATCTTTACGACTTCAACCAGAATCAAGTGGCAGATGTAATCTTCTCCCTCATAAAAATACTGTTAAATAACAAGTGCAACTGTTGCTCTTGTACCAACACTATGTATGGAAGCTTTATTCCCATCCATTACATGACTTATGGCACAATAGCGGGGTTGGCGGGGACATCATAACGTGACTGGGATTAAAGGCATGGTTCTCACTTACTCATGGTTATAGTATAGGTTGACTTGCCTAGTATCTTAGATTTATGTATCCACTCTAATATCATGGAAGTGAATGTTAAAACTATTTCTTTGTTGGAACAGCTGACAGCATGTTATATTGTATTATCCTAAATACAAGAAAGAAAGAGATAAGAGCTATTGAAGTGCAGCTCCATTAACCTCCATTTTATTGGGTTGGTAATGAAAAGTCAGTAAAAAAAGGCAGTATAAAATCTCAGATTTCA